AGAGAGAGAGAGAGAGAGAGAGAGAGAGAGAGAGAGAGAGAGAGAGAGAGAAACACTTTCTTTGAATGTTTGCATATGACGTGGTTTCACGCTGAGCCTGCTGGTCTGCTTCAAGGCCAGGACAGGCACCTGGGGTCGAGTGAGAGAGAGACTGGGCAGTGAGGCGGGGTCTCTGAGTGAGCCAGCTGGACGCATGGGCAGCCCCATCGGCTGGTTCTGCAGTGTGCAGGGCCGTGTGCAACTGGGGCAGCCTGGCATGGACGCTTCTCATCTAACCAGCATAGCATAGACACAGCCTTTCGGAATACTGCTACGCAGCCTGTGACTAATGAGTCTTAGAACTGGATTCAGGATGGAAAGTCTTCAGTAAAGTTAAATCACATGTCCGCAACTGAGGATGTCACCAAAGTCCCTAGTTTCACTGGCTTTCAATAAATGGTGCAGCTGCTCCAGGTTGTAAAATCCGGTGTGGAAAGTGAGTTATCAGCTGATTTCTAAGGTCTTGGCTGTTTGCTTGAATTTCATGTTTAGTGTCTGGCTTACTCACACACGGCATTGTAAGAGATAGAAGATTTAGAGATGCGTGATGTGACCTTACATGACATGAACTTAATAAAGAATTAAGATATTTACTGATATTAGTAGAAATACAGTACATCTATCTTACGGGATATTATTTAATCTTAATACATTATTCCAATTTTTAAAGGGTATTTAAGATGTAATAACTTTATAGCAGGTGACCTTTAAAACATAGCAAAATATATACAAAGAAATTAGGAAGGATATTAATGTCAACTATGAAATAAATTAACATAATTTTTACAAAATATACTGACCATTAAATTAAAAAATATTTTAAGGCCGGATTCTTCATTTGAAATTAGCATAATCAGAAAATATATCAATAAAATCTTGTACCACTTTGTAGCAGAATTCATACTGTTCCTGGAAAGAAAAAACAAGATTACATGAAAATGATGTTCCAAAAATAGGTCTGATCAACTTAATCAAAAGAAGAAAAAAAAATTCTGCGTATTATTATTTTTAAATTTTATTTATTTGATACAGGGTCTCACTAGGCAGCTCAGTCTCGTAGTGATCCTCCTGCCTCAGCCTCCCCAGTGCTGGATTACAGGAGTGCACCACCATGCCTGGTCTCAGTGGCTAGCTCAGCGTGCCTGGGGCGGGGCTGGCACAGCATGCAGTACTGGGATTGGACCAGGGTCCTTGTGTTTGCCTAAGCAGGTGCTTAGTCTGCTAAGCTATTTCTTTAGCCCCTTTGCTTATTAATAAAACACTATGTTTTCCTGCACATCTGTTTCTGCTACATAATTTAGTTTTTGAGAACATGAAAATTTCCACATAAAGCTATTTTCCTACGAAGAATATCAAGAGTTTGTTTCAAATTCATGTCTCCGTAGAAAGGCCTGAGTTTTCATGTCTAAACTGTGAAATCATTTTTGAACTGAAAGGTCACTTAACTACATTGTCAGATAAAGTTCATAGTGTAACAAAGATCAATGTATAGAGGTTAAACAAAGTAAAATAAAATTCTAGATTATTTTGAGACCTAAATTCTCTGTAAGATAGATGTTGCTGTTTTTTGAGAGATACAGTTTTATATAAATTTTACTAGAATCCTCAGTAATTGCCTGACTTTGCTCTAAGGTGGTTCAGTTACAAGAACACTTGTGCATGTTATCTACTCTGCCTTCCCAGCAGCGGCATGAAGAATACAGGCCGGCTGACGGCAAACGGGTGACCACAGTGTCACCCATTAATAAAGGGAACTCAAACAGAAGCAAGTAAGATGTGGAGGAAATGACAATGGCTGGGCTTTTCGGCAGAAATCCTTTGGACAGCCAAGTGAGAAAAATGGGCGGTGGGCAGGAAGGTGACCCAGAGGGTCCAGTAACAGAGAGAGCAGCCAAGCGGCCTGTTAGGTCTGAAGAGCTGGCTCCTGACAGACTCGAGCGGGACAAATAAACTGGCGAGAGGGGCTCAGGGAGGCGGAGGGGCTGGGAGTTGTCCTTTCCACTTTCTCCTCTTCGTTACCAATGTAATGAACTCAGTATTTTCATTGTACCAAGCAAATATCAAAAGGCTTAGGAGAGCCGGCCAGATAGCTCAGTGGACCAAAGCGCCTACTTAGGCAGATGCAGGGACCAGGGTTCGATCATTTGCATGTCGTGCCCGCCCCACCCTTGGCACGACAGTGACTGAGACTGGGCGTGGTGGTGCACACCTGTAATCTCAGCCCTTGGGAGGCTGAAAACAGGAGGATCACTGAGTTGGATCTGTGTAGTGAGCCCCAGTAGACCCTGTACTAAAATACATTTAAAAAAAGAAAAGAAAAGAAAAGTTTGGGGCTGAAAGATGCTGACCATCAGCCTCTTCACTCCTCTCACAAGCCTCAGTCTGGCCAAGATGGGATGATACTGGGTTTTTCAGAGAAAGAAGTTGGACCAGAAACTGAGATTGTGTGAAGTTATTGTCAGAACCAAGACTGGGCTGTAGGCATCCTTGCTTCTGCTTGACAAAATTCCCACCTATTCACCAGTCCTTTGAAGGAACAGGAAAATAAATTTCCAGAAGAAATTCTTCATAAATCTATAAAGAGGCAAGTACCCTCATCAACTACATCAATTACATAGCAAAGCTGACTCCAGTCTGGGACAGAAATGGAAACGGTTATGCAGGGAGGTGATGTTTTACACAGCAAGCACAGGTACCAAGTGATAACCACTCTAGTTGTGTCTTGCACACCCGTTACTGGCAGCTGGCAATGAATAAGGTGTGTTTTGGCAGACTGCTGGGATGACGCTGGCCATAGCATAGGTCACAAATATTTCTGACCACCATTCAGTGCTCTGAGAGGAGAAACTCCTTCGGGCCTTTGCAGCTCCTGTTCTAGGGAGGGCTACCTCAGATGCTAGAAAGGGGTCTTCCCCCAGTGCACAGCAGCTGGAGATCAGGTTGTGAGCCTGCACCCACCTCCTAGTTAAGTCAACCACACACCACAACTCTTGACCCAACCACATAATCACACCCCGTACTCTTTGCTGAAATATCCCTCCCAAGTATGGGGTCTCAAGCAGTCATGCTCTTCCTTTCTGGAGCCAGACAGACTGGGTTTACATCTCATTCTTCCATGACACTTTACCTGGGCTGCCCGCTTAACCATCCTGGGTGATAACTCAGACAGCCCTTGGGGGCAGGAGTGAACACAGAGATATGCCCAGCAGGCAATGCAAAAGATGTGTGAAGGCACCTGACCCCAGCAGTCATGAGTCAGAGACTCATTTGTCTCTAATTTATTTGCTAATTCACTGCTTTTCTTGGAGCACTTACTATGAGCCAGTGGGGGTGGGGGTGAGGGTGGGGGTAGAGGAGGTGAGCCCAGAGGTGGACTTGAAAACCCAGGTAAAAAGTGCCCTGGCAGGCTGTTACTGGGCAAGGAAAGCACAGACTGGGGCCAGGCAGCTTCCATAAAGGAGTGGAGAGAGAACCGAGGCTAGAGCTGGCAGAACCGAGGTGGGAGGGCTCTTGGACACTGGATGATTTGGAAGGAATACACGGGCCAGACCAGGCGAATTATGAGACTGTCGGTGCCCGACTAAAACCGCGTTGGAGGTGCTCTTTGCTGCAAGGGCTAGGTGCCTCTCCTGGGCCCAGGGATTTGTGGAGTTTAAAGGAAATTTTGCACAGAGCCCTAAGGGAAGCACCATCAGCTCCAGTTTCCACAGAAAGGAACCGGAGGAGGAAAGAGCAGTAAAGAGCCCGTCCCCTTCCACAAAGCCCTGAGTCTGGCTGCAAAGCTAAGATGGCATCCTGAAACCAAAGGGTCAGGGGGTCTTGAGCCTTGGCTTTTTTCTTTTATATTTCATTACTGCCCAGCCAGGACTACAAGCTGCTCAGGAAAGAATTAAAAACAAGAGATAGAAAAAGAGTCTGGCTCGTAACTGAAAGCTGGCTTTCTTTTTGTGGAGGTTCCTGGTGGGGTATTTAAACACTATTATTATTATTATTTTTATATTCTAGGGAGGGCCTACAGGGTGCTCAGGGTCTCACTACTAGATTGGACTCATAGCGATCTGCCTATTTATAGCCTCCCAAGAGTTGGGATTACAGGCATGCGCCACCACGCCCAGTCTCAATTGCTATCTCAGCATGCCCCAGGGGTGGGACCAGCACAGCAGGCCAGGCGATCCAGCCCTGGCCTGCTGTGCCTGCTTGCAGGCGCTTTAATTCCCTCAGCTATTTGGCTGGCCCTTAAACACTATTATTAATTTCTTTATTTTTTGTCTTTTTTTTTTTTTTTTTGTCTTTGTAGTACCTGAGACACTCTGCCACTGAGCTACATCTTTAGCCCTCTTTATTTTGAAATAAATCTCCCAGACTGGCTTCAAACTTGTGATCCTTCTGCCTCAGCCTCTCAGGGCTAGGATTAGAGGTCCGTGCCACACGGCACCCAGCTACTACTATATTTTGATCTACCAACTTTCTTCATGGTGGTGTCTGCCACCATTGTTCAGTTTGTGCCACCTGGGGCACCTGCAGGTGTCAGGAGGTGGCATAACCTCTGGCAGACCTTCATGGGCTTCTCCAGTCTCTTCTCAGAGCCTAGGCGCTGGGAGCGGGACTCCAAGGTCAGTGGGGAGCCCTCAGGCCTCTTGTTCCCATTGCTGCCAGAGACCTGGGTTCCCATCACTGTCACAGCTGCTGAGGCACAGTGACTCCCAGGGAGGGAGCCAGCAAGCACCCAAGAGCCTTCTGGTCTCATGGTTCTCAACCCTGTATTCGCTTTGGGGTCCTTTAGCATGGAGTAGGTATGCGGATGCCTGGGCCTCAGTCCCAGGGATCAGATTCCATTTCATTGGTCTCAGGTGGAGCTTGGGTACCAGGAGACAGCTACCTGCTCCCAGGTGAGTGCCATGTGCACCAGGGTGGAGAGTCCCATGCCAGCCCTACCTAGCAGGAGGGCAGACCCATCCTTGCTCAAGGGTTCTCTCCAGCACTTAGGCTCTGCTGTGATGGGGGTGTGAGAGGGGTCCTCCCCCACCTTTCTGTACAAGCTGTTTGAGCCAGGACTGGAAAGGGAGGGTGAGTTCCAAATAGGAAGGAGGGCTGGGGAGATAGCTCCAGGGTCTAAGCACCTGTTTGGCAAGCCCAAGGACCTGGGTTCGATCCCTGGTACCACACATAGTGCTGGACACCAAACCCAGGCTGGTGGTGCATGCCTATAATCCCAGCACTGGGGAAGCTGAGACAGGAAGCTCACTGTGAGTCCGAGCTGTGTAGTGAGACCCTATACCAAATAAATAAATAAATAAGATTAAAAAATAAATAGAAAGGGAGGGTAAGTTCTACATAGGAAGCTGGGAGGAGATGATGAGTTATAACAGCCTTCAAAAATTGCACTTCTTGCTTTAGCATGAGCTGTTGCAGAATTTAGTGAGGAAGAATCTCTTCCACAGCCCAGGAAGTGTGCAGGGTTGGTTAGGAGAGAGGATGTGTGGGGCACCTGTACACTGGGTGAGCTACCTATGCCCTCTACCTCCCTGGGCAAGGTCTTGAGGTTACGTGGGATTCTACCAGGGGAGACAGACCACATGAGAGGTGTAAAACCAAAGCTGACAAGAACTAGCAATTGAAGCTTCATTGTTGCTTTTGAACCTGGTGACAGTACAGTGTATTTTAAAATGCAATGGAAATTCATGAATGAGCTCTTTCTCATGAGGTTTGTTCAGAGGGCAGATCCAATGCAGAGATCTAAGGAAGGATCTGAGTCTGTCCCCTTTCTGTGAAAATTTGCAGGTGGCTTTTTGCTTTGGAAATTGTACCCTCCCTTCTCCCCCTTACACCGGAGCACCTTTAGTGAAGCAGACATCAAAAACATTAAACAATTCTCGCCCTTCTGGAGATCTCCTTAAAACTCAGGTTCTTACCAGGGTTTGCACCATGTGTGGCCTCTGAAGTCGTAAGCTCTTCACAGCTTGAAACACATCTAAGAGTCCCTCAGCTTTTACACGTTCCAAAATGTTGCTGAGGGCAATGAATGTACCTGTTCGCCCAGCTCCCGCACTGTGGAGGGAAAGCATTCAGTGACGATCTTCAAACCAAGAGGAAAGCTACGCAGACAGCTGACAAACAGCCCCCTGCATGCTGGCATGAAGCAGGATCACTACACAGAATCCATTTGACTGGGTGTTTCATGGCCATTTTTAGATAGCGACCATGAAATTCTAAGCCACTTCCCTCAGCGTGGTGGTCTGACAGTGCACGAAATGGATCGGGACCAGTTATCAGCTTTTAAGTACTCGCTGTCTCCCCTGTGTGAACCACAGTGTGATCCTAGAGCCAGGAGGATCAGCACCACCTAGGGAGTGGTTAGAGATGCAGACCTGAGAAGTGATCCTGGCCCTGTCCTCTGGGACAGCTGGTGGCAGCTGAATGGTGGCACTGAAGGGCTACTGACACAGCAGGCAGAATCAGCAGGAAGAGTCGGATGATTGGACTCCCGGGGATGAAGATAGGGTAAATGCTGTGTGAGGTGATGATTGGATTGCAAAGCCCTGTAGGCCCCAGAGCTTAGGAGAGTCAGGTAGGAGGCTCAGAGGAGGTGGGGTCTGGAGCCGTCTGTAGAGGCATGGTTGCCCTTGAGGGCTCCAGGATCTCACATGTGTACATACCAACAAGCTCCTAACCTGCTGCTGTCCCTTGTCCCTGTGTCTGACTTCCCTCATTTGGGACTTTTCTGCCCTATACACGCTACACGGATAACCTGCATTTGCAGAGCCCGAGTAGGAAGACAGTTTACTGTGGAAAGTAGTGAGTGTGGTCTCCCTACTGCAGAGCTGGGAGTGTGTCCAGCTGCAAGGACTGGGGTAGTGATTAGGGCAAAATGTGGTCATGAAAGTGGGAATCACGCGAGTGGGAAATGAAGCAGAACTGAGTCGGAGAAGTACATTAGCTCCACCCAAGAATAAAATCACACCAAACTGCTGCTTGGAAGTTTAGCAAGGGTGGCTGAGGTCTTACCCAGCAGGGGGCGCTAGACACAGCCAGCAACTGCACAGGCAGGGAGAAAGGAGAGCTAAGGCTTTGTATTTACAAGAAACCATCCTTCTGCCTTCCTTATGATGCTTGCTATGGTCCTTACTGGGCTCCTCACTGTGGTTCTGGGACTGTCTCTCTGCCCTCATGCCTGACTTGTTGGGATAAGTGTGGCTACAGGTCTTAGTTACCAATCTGAGCCTGGACTCTGCCCCCACCCCAACCCACAGTCCCCAGATAATCACCCCAGGCTGTCCTTCAGCTGCAGGCCTTCTAAGCACAGAAGAAAGAGCACAGAGTGTGGGCACAACTTGCAGAACAGAGGCAAACCACTAGACATACAGAAGCTTTGCTTAGAGGGTTGGGTTGCCTTCAACACAAGTGGAAATATGTGCTTGGGTGTGGAAATGAGCCGCTGGGTCCTTCTCGATTCCTCCTCACAGATGCATGCCACATGTATGATGAGATGGCACAATGCACATGCATTTATATGAAGTTATGTGTGCACATGTGTAAGGGCAGGTAGCACAGAATCTAGGGCAACAAGGCCGCTGGCAGCAGTGAGCCAGCTCACTCTCCTGCCTCAGCTGTGTGTGGTCAGTGCTGCCCACGTGGAGAGGTCCGTGGCCAGCAGAGGGCTGCTCACCTGCAGTGCACTGTGATCGGGTGGTTGCCTGTCTGCTGCTGCTGCTTCTGCACAGCTGCGATGAGGTCGATCATGCCTTTGCCCTCGGCTGGAATCCCGATCTCGGGCCAGCCGTGGAAGTGGAACTGGCGCACCATGCGGGCCTGCTCCTCTTGGCGGGTCAGTGGCTGCTGCGGGAGACAGCTTTCAGTGATTCTGGCCTTTGCCCTGTTCGATCAGGGTCTGGGCTTGGCGCCCTCCCAGATCCCTCTGAGGGCACCCCCGTCCCCGTGTCCCCACCTAGTCATGGGCGGCCTGCCTAGCCGTTGGCTGTGCTTCCTTCTCAGTGGGTTAAGATGTGCAGAGAGTGTGCCTTGGATGCCTGTGAAGTCCCCCAAGCCTCTACAGAATCCTGGCTGCCACGCTCCAGAGAGGGCATCCTTGGGGAAGCCAGGCCCCATGCTTCCCGCCAAGGCTGGGGATGAGTCCCACCACTGAGCCACCTCCCCTCTAAGTCACAAGAGCTCACTCTGGCTAGTGTGAGCAAAATTCAGGACTCAGTGAGAACAGGGATGGCGAAGGGTTCTGAGGACCCCAAAAGAGGCCTGAAGAAGCTTCTGCACCCTTCCTCTTGGTACCTTCTGCCCCAGCTCAAGTCCCTCTCCCGAGGGGGTTGTGGGAGAAAGTGAAGTGAGAAGGCCGGCTCCCTGACCTTCATCTTTGTCTGCCAGCTAGGTGACAGGTGACCTTGGAGGACCAGTTTTATAGGAGTCCTGCTTCTGAGCCAGTCCTGGTCATGTAGGACTCAGGAAAAGATGGCCAGAGCATGCCACGTGACAGGTACAGGGCTCCATTCTGGCACAATAAGAAGCAGCTCCTCGAGGATGGTGCTCCTTATGGCTATTAGAGTTTTAAAATCTATAGCAACCATACCTGATTGAAGGTCACCAGGAAGTCTCGTATGCTGATGGCTTCAGAAAGAGTATCACTTTTTATTTCGATTGTTATTTCTCCGTGAGTGACTGAACCCTCTGTTGGCCAATACTGGTAGCATTTGTCCTTAGGGGATAAAATACAAATTTAAGTCTCATAACTACCACCACTTTTGCTCTTGATGATGTAGAGTTACTTCCAAACCATTTAACCTATTTGATCCGATAGGAAAATAACATATGAATGCAAGTGTGAGCACCCATGATAGCCCACTGAACAAGAGGTCAGAAAAGACTTTTTTTTTTTTAGTTCCCAGAAAAGACTTATTAAGAAAGAGACACAGGGCTGGGAAGATAGCCCAGTGGTCTAAGTGCCTGCTTGGCAAGCACAAGGACCGGAGCTCAACCCCCAGTACCGCATGCTGTGCCAGTCCTAGAACCCTGAATGCCCTGGGTGAACTGTGACCAAGACTGGGTGTGGTGGCACACACCTATAATTGCAGCACTGGGGAAGCTGAGTCGGGAGGATCATTATGAGTCAGAGCTGCATAGTGAGACCCTATGCCAAATAAAATACATAAAGAAATAAAAGATTTTAAAAATTTAGAAAGAAAGAGACACGTATATATGGAACTTGGATACATGACACAGGGGAGAGATTGCTCAGTGAATGGGACCCCGAAGCTTACAGAGTGGGGGTGAATTCTCAAGCTTCTCCTAGATGTAGGCACATGTGAACTGTGCCGCTAGGTGTAGAGGCCTTGAACTTTAATAAAAACAAATCCAGATGGGTTGAGACTTAGAGACCAAAAGCAAGCTTTCTTCTGAAAGCCTCAGAAGAAATTATTCTTTCACTTTGTGCTGCACAAGGATTTACTAAATAAACACAAAAAGTGAGCTAATTATGAGGCAACACATAGGCGCATCAGATGACAGTAAGGCTAACTTCTCTTCATCCACAAGCGTCACTGAGAGAGTGAACATATGGGCTGCGAACTGCAATGAGATGTTCGCAATGCACAGAATCGACACAAGATGAGTACCAAAAATGCGTAAAGAAGGTCTACAAGCCAATAAGGGCCAACAACTCAGCAGAAGATGTGCAAAAAGCAGCAACAGGCAGCTTACACAAGAGGAGCCATGCTGTCCCGGGACACACAAGGTGATGTTCTACCTCGTGGGTATCAGACAGATGCGGATTAAAGCCACAATGAGATATTTGCATCTGTTTAATTAGTAAAGACCAGGATGCTAAGAATATTAGGGACATCTGTGGCGGACTGTCTTATGCATTTCTGGGGTTCATTCTGGAAACTTCTTGGGAGGACAGTTGAATTATTTTACAAAGTCTTATCTTCACATATTCTCCAATGTGACATTTTGTCTCTTTGGCATACGCTAGCCCTTGTGCATTATAAGACATATACAAGAAAGTGCAGGGCACCCCTGTTTGTAAAACGACAAAATAAGGTCAACCCAAATGCTTATGACAGGAGAAGTAAGAAACAAGTGGATGCAGGATGCACGACTGTGTGTGGGAATATGTCGACACAACGCTGGTGGATGAATCACAGCTATGGGCATCAGCACAGGAAAAGATCAAAAGCACAATTTTTTTTCTTATACCAGGGATCGAATTCAGAACCTTGCGCTTGCCAGACAGGCAATCAAGCCTCTAAGCTATCTCCTAAAAGCACAGTTTTGAATGGAAAGAAAATCAAGCCCCAAAAGACTATATATTATAACCTGTCTTTATATAAAATTATACACAAACAAAACTATAGTTTCCTTAGGCATAAGAATATAAAATTTTAATTTTTGAATCTTTTGAGCAGGGCCTCCCTAAGTAGTTGAGCCTGAGGTTAAGTTCCCAGGCTGGTCAGAGCTCGCCATCCTTTTGGGGTGCTGGGACTACACCCATGTGTCACTGTACCCAGCTGACTTCAAAATATTTCTTAAAGAGCAAAGACAAGGCAAGAGTTGGCAAGAAAGGGGGTAAGTTAGAATACTTGTATGCTGGTAGAAGGAATATAAACGGAGTCACTAGTCTGAATGTTTTTTAAAAATATCAAGTAATTAAAGTTCGTAATACAGAGTTATGATACGAGGCAGGTATGTACCTAAGGGAAATAAAAAATAAAAGCATCACCTCCCTTCAAAAAGGGCTGCGCAGGGGCCGGGGAGATGGCTCAGTGGATTAAGCACTTCCCTGGCAAGCCAAGGGCCTGAGTTCAATCCCCGGTTCCACCAAAAAAAAAAAAAAAAAAAAAAAAAAAGGGCTGCGCAGGCATGTCTGCAGTAATGTACCTGTAGCTGCTGTGAAGCAGAAATAATGCACAGGCCCCGCAGCTGACACTGGACAAATGGAAAGCAGTATAGTATATTCCTCAATGCAAAACTCCTTGTCAATAAAAAAGAATGAAGTTCTTGCTCCTGCTACATACAACGTGGACAAACCATGAAGTCATCATTCTAAGTGACAGAACTCACTTCCAAACGACCACATGCTAGTATTACTGGAATCCCCTTGCAGTGGGCGAATTCATAGTCAGAAGATTGATGCTAGCTGGGGCTGGGGGAAGGGAGCACGCAGAGTGACTATTCGGTAGCTTCTTTTTAGGTGACAAAAAGCAATGTCAAGACTTGGCATGGGGACGCGCACCTGTAATCCCAGCGCTTGGGAGGCTGAAAACAGGAGAATCACTAAGTCCGCGCTGCATAGTGAGACCCTGTAGGCCCTGTGCTAAATACATTTAAAAAAAACCAAGCGATTTCAAATGAGGAGGGGGCTGCCCAACTCGGAATATTATAAAAACTCATTGAATTGTACCTTTTCAAAGGTTGAATTACTCTGCAGGCGAATTCTATCTCAATGAAGCTATCTGCTTTTTATTTTGAAACGAAGTCTTGCTAAGACAGGATCATGCCGGCATTCAGTTTGTGATCTCCTGCCTCAGTCTCCCAAGTAACTGACATTTTTAAACTAGGCATTTTTTTTAAATCAAAGGAATTAGGGTGGCGGTATAGCTCAGTGGGACAGCACTTGCCTGGCAAGTGCAAGGTCCTGAGTTCAATTCCTGGTGCCAAAACAAAACAAAAACAAAAACTACATAAAGCAAAGAAATTAAAACACAAGCTCAGAGGAGTGGTCATATCTTGGGGGGAGCTAAATAAATGTACATTATCTATAAGAGTAAGATTCTCGGTTGGGTGTAGGTTCGTGAGTGTTTACTATGTTACTGAAGGAGGCCACAGGGGGATTTCTGGGAAAATGGAACTATCTGAGCCATTAATTTGATGAGGCTACTAGTTGAGTACACACAACCATGTCTTTATATTTTAGAAAAAGTATATAAGTGCCCTTCCTTTGATAGGTTGTTATACTGAAAAATACAAAATGACAGAAATCAAGGCAGATCGATGCAGGCCAGGGGGCAAACGCAGTTAATCACTCCACCCAGAAAGCAAAGGGCAGGATAAAACCTTCCGCAGCCAGGGTGTTGTCAGGACCCTGGAAGCTGAGACGCTGTCCCAAGCTGTGGCCCCGGAGGACCCACGCACCCAGGCACCACGCACCTGCTCTCGCTCCTGCACCTCTGTCAGCATCACAATCGTGTGGCACTTCCACTCCCAGACCATCCTCCAGAAGTCCTCGACCGTGTGTGCCAAGGGACCCTGGGTGGCAATGAAGTAGTCTTTCTGCCGGTACCCCTTCAAAAGGAGAGCGGGAGTTAAGGCTGGGGGTGCGGGTTCATGAATGGCTAGGACAGCCAAGGCCTCATGGGGGAAACGGCAATTTTCTGTTCCTGCACCAAAGCCAAGCTGGTACACTTGTGCACACACATACACACCCGTCCTCTCATACCACAGAAGTGGGCCAGGACCCTGGCTTGGGCTGAGCACACCCCACACCCTTTCCTTGCCCGAGGCTGTCTCTGAGTGGCTGCTGTAAATGACCAGTTCCCACGGCCACCTCTACAAGGCCCCGTGGCTTTGACTCTACCCTGCCCTCTGTGGGCTAGTCACATTCAGGGAGATTCACATTGTGGTGTGAATCCAAGGAAGGGGCTTCTAAGTCCTCTACCGGGACCCTGCTGACATCTGGGGCCATTTCCTCAGCTGCAAGTGGGAGCTCGGGCACACACTTGGCTGTGGAGCTCTTCCATGCCTGTTTTCCTGCTGACGTCGGCGCGCTTGGCCTAAACACAATCATCTCTTCCCTATGGGCAGCCCCCACAGAAATCATACAGGAGAGAGCATGCTGAAACCCTCGATGAATAAGCCCGTGTGACAGAAACTAAAAGCAGCCAACTGCTTGGAGTGAGTCTCTCCTAGCTCCGCAAGTTCTCGATTTATTTTTGAAGGAAGTGGTGGTTGCCGGTCACGTGTCAATTCTTTCTGTTATGTCAGTGAACTAATAAAAGGACACGGTCAGACAGACAGGGGACGCACTGCACAAAGCGCACTCAAGGCTGTGGTACATACGTCTATGAAGGACGCGTTGATGTAGTCCGTGTATTCTTGACCCCTCTTCATGGGAAGGATTACTCGGTTGAAGTCGTCTGCAAAGTAGAGGTATCTCCCGTAGTTAGTATAGACACAACCCTGCCTTGCAAAAGTTCTTCCTGTGATGCTGCAGATGGCACCAGGACCTCATGCATGCTCTGCAAGTCCTGGACTACTGAGCTACACTCCCAGCCCTCTTGCCTTGCAGACTTTAACCTATTATTCCAAGCTTTCGACGTATAAAGTGTACCAATAAAATCATGGAAAGCTTGAGAAGTTTATATTCTAGGCTAAGAAAATAGCTTGGGGGTCATATTTATTATCGTTGGAAAGTTCTGGAAACAATCTGATTATGGTTTTTACTTTTCATTTAAAAATACTATATTTGGGGAATAAAAGGAGCATGCCCCACAGGAGCTGGACCTGCAGACGTGAGGACAACTCGGCCACAGAGGACCCAGGGTCTCGGGCTGGGCCAGAGCTGTCTGCTCCAGGTGGCACAGGTGACAGGAGTGGAGCAGGTCAGCGGGCAGCCACTTGGCCACGGCGAGGACTGCAGGGCCCGCGGAGGACAATTGTTTAGGACGTGGCTCAGCCTCTTCTCTTTGAGCTGGGGGCTTTCCCAGGCCGCCTCTGCTCACTTGTCTTGTGGGTTTCTCTTGCCCTATGGGTGAGACCCCGTTGTGGATCCCTGCCCTCTCACTGGCCTTTGCCCCTTCACTCAGGACCTCAGTGGCAGGTGGGAGTCCTGGCTCCATCCCAGCCCACGTCCGGCCCTCTTTGAGGCCTTAGCTTTGTCTTAGAAGGTTCAGCTGGGTTCTCCAGGATAGCGCAGGGCTTTGGCCCCACCCCTTTCTCTCCTGTGTAAGGAGACAGACTGAGTCACAGAATCAGGCACAGCTCAAGCCTGAGGCAAATTCCAGGCTTCCGTGGAGCCTGCCCAGCAGCCACTCTGGGGCCTCCCCTGCCTGAGCCCCACCCCAGGCTGTCTGGCTGCCTGAGCTCCAGGTGGGACCGGCTGGGTCACTAAGGCGCCACCACCGCTGGAGGCTCTTCCTTTCCACCCAGCAGCCCAGAGTTGGGCCCCGAGGGCACCTGCTCCTGATGCTGCTTTGCAGAGGACAGTGGCCGCTCAGTGTCTGAAGCCAGTGGCGGCCAGCCAGCCCGACCCTGCCTACCCCAAAGGGCAGAGACCCACCCCCAGCCCCACGCCGTCTTACAAGGGATGATCTGGATGACCCTGGCCTTCTTCATATTGGCCGGCAAGTTGCCTGTCCTCATGTTCTCCTTCATGATCCGGACGTTGGTCAGTTTCTGCATGTGAGAAGGGCATGGTGAAGCAGGGGCAGCCACAACTCTGAAGCCCTGGGCCAAGCACTCAGCCATGTGCCAGTCCTATGGGCAGGGAGCACTGCCAGGTACGGCTGGTGCATACCTGCAATCGCAGCACTCCAGGAGCCCAAGGAAGGAGCACCACAAGGCCAAGCCCAGTTTGGCTAACTTAGTGACCCAAAGACACTGTCTTAAAATAAAACATAAAGAAAGGCAATGTAGCAAAGTGTGAAGGCACTGAGTCCAGTCTCCAGTGGCCCCCACAAGCACACATCTCGCTATCTCCTGAAGCCACCTCAGTGTCAGTAAATGAACAGGGGTGGCATTCACCCGCAAGCCCAGTTATCTTTCCCCAGAGGCACAGCCTACCATCCCCCTGCCTTTCTGGGTCAGGAAGAAGGGTGAGTGGTTGAAAGAGGCTTCCTTTAAACAGCTGTTGTTTCTCCTTTCTTCTCGCCATCCACCCAGGACGCAGAGCCCCCTGGCTGGCACTCACCCTGAACTCCTCCTCCAGCCCGATCTTGTTGAAGTGGGTGGTGGTGCCATGCAGGCTTTGCAGGTGCCTCTCCAGGGAGGACACATCCAGCTCCGTGTCCCCATAGAGGTAGTACTCCAGTAAGGCTTGGTAGATGAACGTGTACTGTACCTGCAGGACACAGGACACCCGACTTTCGACTCTGCCCTGGGCCAGCAGCACTGCTGTCTTCTTTTTTTGCCAGCAGGAGGTGGGTTAAGGGCAAAGGTCAGATATGGGCCAGCTGGACTGGCCCTTTAGGCTCTCTGCAAAATGGTAGCAGCTGGTGTTTATTAAGAGGACACCTGGCATCATCCTGAGGCTAATACAATCAGCCCAGCATGTATGAGGGTTCACGGTGAAGAACATTCCCTGGGGGCGCCTGGGGAGGAAGGAAGGCAGGGAAGCCAGGTCCGATGTGGACCCTAAATGTTCATGGCCTGTGGCCACCTGCCTATCCAAACCAGGGCCCACGGAGTGTGGAAAGGCTGAATCCCACGTGCCTGGGTTTCTTTGTGAAGCTCAGACCAGGGTTGGAGGAGGTATCACTCACATCCGTTTGGACCATCTGGGGGCGCTGATTGCGGATTCGGGACACGAATTCGAAGACGTCCACCTTCTGCTCTGAGTGTATCATATCCATCATGGCGTCGATCACGATGAAAGTGCCCGTCCGGCCCACACCCGCACTTTGGGAAAGAAGACAGATGCCACTGTGTGTGTCACCTTCCCCGGAAGCAAGTGGCAGGGGCAGAGCCAGGACGGAGCCCGGCCTTGCTCAAAATGACTTAACGCGACTTTCCTCTGGCGAACAAGAAGCAAGTCTACGGGAGACCACCAGAGGGCGCTGCAGCATCGGTGGAAGGTCCGGACTCCAGAATTGGAGGAACTTGAGAGAAGGCTTTACAGGAGGCTATGTGGAGACTTTTTTCTGTAAACAAGCCCTGCCAGAGGTGGGTACCCTACATGTCGAGGGACCCGAGAGCTGGATCTCTACTCCCCATCAACCCTGGCTTTCTGCTCCAGTCAGTTTTGCTGGGGTTCTTCCTTAGAACCTGTTGAAAGGGCCCTGCTACTCCAGCGCGAGCTGCAGAGAGGCTCTGGGCTTCCCTCCCTCTGACTTTCCGTGCAGGGCAACCTGAGCTGCGCCTCATGAAATACACATTCGCGTCCACTTCGTCAGCCTGTTCCTCTGCCCCCCATCAGTGTCAGTCCGTTGCGTGTTTTCCCACTGGGCCCGTGGGTTTCTACCCCAGGCTTCTGCCCTCTCCTGGACATACCTGCAGTGGACCACGATGGGCCCCGCGTGGGAGGGGTTGAGCGCACGCACTTTCTTCAAGAACTTCAGCATCCCGATGGGGGTGAACGGCACCCCGAAGTCAGGCCAGCTGGTGAAGTGCAGCTGTGAGACTAGCCGCGGAGCCTTGCAGCCGTCGGGAAGCTGCTGCAGAGAGACATGAGGGGCCCACGGGACAGCCTTCACCCCTGTGCGTCTGCAGGACGCTTGCCCGGGCTCAGCAGTGCCTGTGGTGCTGTGGCCTTGGGGACCCTGTGGGGACCGATGTCTCTCCTTGTGCAGGATGCCTGAGACAGAGCCCTTTGTTTTCTGCTACTGGTTCTAGACAGGACACCAGAGGCATGTGCAGAGGGCACCGAGCAGGGCCACGGGCACCCGGCCACACCCAGGGCAGGCACATCTGAGTAGCCAGATCTCCTAAATCTGGCCCCAAATCTCAGGGAGCCCCCAGGAGGAGGTACCCTGCCCTGTTCTGCTTGGACAGTCCTATTGCCCCCTGATCTCTCTCTCTCTCAGAGTTTCAATTTGGGAAGAAAAGGTGATGGGGTTTGCCTCGCGTTGGAGCCCCTGCCCTCCCCAAAGCCCCTCTCAGCTGTCATGACCCCAAGCCCATGAGGTCCTTCACCTGCCCAGACCTGGAAGATTCTCAGCAGCGTGTCTGTGTGTGTGTATGTGCACGTGTGCATGTGGATGCGTGTGTGTGCGGATGAGCACGCGTGTCAAGGACATAATCAGCGCACAATAATGATAGCAGTGACAGTCACTCTCCCCCACCTTTTTGCCACAGCGTCTAGGAAGCTTGGCCTCAGATTTTGCAATCCAATTACACCACTCTGTCTCTGATTTCTGATAAAATGACCTTTTGTTTTTACCAAGGCTTCAGACTATCTTTTAAATCTCCTTCTCATCAGCCTTGTTTACTAGTGATTTTGTTGAAATCTGCCTTGGTCCTTTCATGGAGAACTAGCAGGAAATAGGTGTGAAAAATAGCAGGGAAGTTTTGGGCATAATTTTGAAACTATTAAAAGATGCTGCCTTTCCATTCCAGCTTGTGAAATGCTATCATGCTCCTGAGCAGGGCCTGACTCCATCCCCCCTCTGTCCCGTTCCCCTGGGGAACCCCACAGCAGTGGCTGGGAGCAGCAGAACCCAGCATCTGGCAGACCTTGGATCTGAGCTGACCACCCATCCCCACCCGCCACTCGCTCCAGCCCTCCAGCTCTTCATACTACAACATGTAGAAAGATCTCTGCCCCTGCCCGTGTGCTCTCAGGAGGTCACCAGTGGGAAGTGCTTACGGGTTGGATGCAGAATTTCCGGATTGTGTAGTCTACTAGCACAACACAGTCTTCCACGCACACCCGGATGTTGCCGTAGGTCCAGCATCCCTGGTCGGGCCAGTACTGATAGCACTTTTCCTGCGTGGATCAATTCAGAGACACTAACCCATCTGTGGCTGTGCTTCCGGCCCCATGCCCTGTTTGTACCCCTGTCTCCACCCTCCACCACAGGGCTCCCAGGGGCCAGAGGGGTCAGCAGCTCCTAGCACTGGGGCAGCCTGTGGACAAGCACATCTCTGTCACAGACAGGGGAAATGAGGCCACAGGGGAATGGTGGCCCCAGGACCGTGACTGGGCCTGGGCCTTCTGATGTCCACCCAGTGATGCCTCATGCGTTCCTTCAATTGAACTCACTCATCCCACACGCCTGATTGGGCTGCTGATGCTGAGCCGGCTCCCTTCAGAGCCATGGACCCTAATGTGGCATGAACTGCCGGTTGGAGTGAGGACATTTCCCATGGGACTCAGTGGCCTGTTTCTTCCTGCTCTGTTCACAAGGACCTCTGGGTACAGCACCTCCAGCCCTCTGTTCTAACATGGCCTGAGTCAAGCTAACGGGCCCTGCCATACCCTGACTAGGAGGCAGGTGTGGGATCTTTGAGTCACAGAGAGCCCGTTCCTCTACCTCCGTACATCTGAGATGGCCCTTGACTTTGCTCTCTTATTTTCTGGCACCCTGGCACCTGATTAACAGTGAGCCATCTACAGCACAGGACACAGGACGCATAAACAAAGGGGAGCCCTCTCAAGGGGGACAAAAACCCGCTCAATATTCCCTCTGGAAGTCTCTAGGGTTTCAGAAGCCTTTGGAGCATCTGACAGTTGGTCTTGGAAGTGGCCCCAGCGTGGCACAGGAAGCTGGTCAGGATCCCAGGAGCCATAGTCTCAAAAAGCAAAGAGTGTTGGGATTTGCCAGAGACCAGCAGCTTTGTATTATGACATTCGTGGGACCAAACACACGCTGTCATCCTGTCCCTGGCCGGCCTGCTGCTTGTGGGGTGTCTCTGAAGCAGCCAGTGGGCACCCAAAGGTCCTGGTTTGGGAAAGTCTGGGCCCCATGGGGCCATGAGGAGCCCTGCAATTCTTGCCCTGGAAGGTTCTGGAAAGGACAGCACTTCATCTCAGGGCCCGCTGGGTGCCGTGTGGCTATCGCCACCCGCCCCCAGCACATCACAGGGTGGCAGCTGTGTTTCACAACGGAGCTGTCCAGGATGTGGACACCAAGGAGACCACGACTGGAGTATAAGCAGTGAAGAAAAGGGGAACTCGCTTGGGAAATGACTTCATCTGAAATGGCAGAAACCGAGAGGCCCCTGGGGCAACACTGAGTCATGAGAATGGAAAATCACAGTAGGAGGTGACAGAGGAAGAGAGGAGAAGGATGCCGTGCAATGTGGGGAGCGCGAGCTGGGGGACACAGGGTGCCCTCGGGCCCAGGGCTGCCACTGCGTGGGTCTCATGCGCCATGTTTGGTGAAGCGGCCTTTGGGAAGCTGGGCTCTGTGGGACATCAGTCACAGGCGGTGAGGACCCTTGCGGGGGCTGGCTGCTCCCCCGCAGCATGGGGCTCCTCTTCCCAATGCCCTAGAGAAGGAAGGGTTATGTGTCCTGTGGCCAGGAATCCCCTGCTTCCTTCCTGTCACTCTTTCCATGACAAGGACAGGAGTCATACAAGAATAGTTTATGATCCTCCTCAGTCTTGCCTCTCAGTAACAAAAGAAAAACCCTATCCTTGACCAACCAGAAAGCCCAAATCAGTGGCTGGAGACATCCCCTGGGCTTTCTGGCAAGGAACCCAGTAGTTAGGTGGCAGCAGAAGCGCCTCTGGGCCCCGCCCTTCCTGTGGCTTCCCCAGGACCTGGTACTTCCACCTGTAAACTGCAGTCCCTCCCAGAGCTCTCGGAGCGCTGGGCACTGCTGTGGGCAGGGCCAGCACCTTCCCTGCCCGAGAGTCCCGGGCAGGGGCTGCGTAGGACAGACATCGCCTGCAAGCGGAGCCCTCACGCTAGAACTTGCTCAAAGCCGTCTCCCCAGCCGACCTCCCCACCTGAAGAAGCCTCCCTTGGGCATGCAGTTCTTTAGTTCGGCCTGCTGACATGGGGTCCTGCTTATTGTTCCAGGCCCCAAGACCTGTGACGCTCCCCCTTTTCAGCCCTGCATTGGGATCTAAGTCCCAGCTCCTGGAGCAGAGCTGGTCTGCACAGCAGACGCTAATGTGGAGTTTTCCCCTGAGGAATGGAAGTGGTTCAACTTGATGTTCTGTTCATGTTTCCAGTTCAGATAAGGCACGCATTCCTTCGATATACTTGCTTCCAAGTGCATCTCTCTAGTCTGGGTGATAAACACGTGGCCACGTTCAGTCAGAGTCCAAGGCCCACTGTGTTCTCTTCCTAGCTATTCAAAGTTTCAGTTCTGAAATTCCTGGCTCCCCTCACAGTAGGGCAAGCTCGGGCCAGCCAGGGCGACTGTGCTGGCACCATTGGCACGTGGCAGCTCGGGACAGCGTGGTCCTAGGAAGGCAGAGAATTTACTGCAAGAGGCACGTGGTGAGAACTGTGGACTCCCTTTTCTCCTGCACCACTAGAAGGAAGGGAAATAGGCAGAGGAAGTGGTCAGAGCCCTCCAGCTAGGCGGCAGCCTGAGGGCAGGCCTCACAGGCAGGCGGGGAAGGGGCTCACCTCTTTTCTCTCTTTCAGGTTTGTCAGCATGACGATGGTGGCAGATTTCTGCTCCCAGACCATTCTCCAGAAGTCGTTCACAGTCTCCTGTTTAGGGCCTGCATGCAGAGGAGCATCTGAGGAGACTGTACCATGATTTATAGGAAGAGCCACAACTTGCTGAACTGGCTCTAGTTTGTCGGTAACAGAAAGCATGAGGAGAAGTCCTCCAAAGACCTAGCACTGCACCCTGTCCAGCCCAAGAGGGCTTCTCCGTCCTTTCTGGAGGCCCAGGACAGGCCTGTGGGGCACCTCAGGCCCTGACATCCCATAGCTAGCACAGGCCTGTACCTTCCCTGCCTGCACTGTGTGGTGATCCACCCCAGCAGGAGGCTGGCCGAATAGTTGGGCCCAGGCTATAGATTGCTACATTCATGGGCTAGCAAGGGATCTTCAGGTAGGTTCTGGGCCTAATGCTGCACGTCAGGGTGGCTTACTTATGTCTCAGAATAGCAGGTCCCTCCACAATGGCTGAATCAGAAAGTGTGTGTGTGTGTGTGTGTGTGTGTGTGTGTGTGTGTGTGTGAGAGAGAGAGAGAGAGAGAGACAGAGAGACAGAGAGACAGAGAGAGAGACAGAGAGACAGAGAGAGAGACAGAGTGATCGTAGGCTGATGTTTTACCCTTCTTTTCCAACCCCCTTTCCTTTGTCAAAATATTAATTTCTCAGCATAGTACTATCCAATTAGATGTGAGCTGAAGTCCTTGGGGAAGGAATCTGAGCAAAAGGTAGATTATCACTACAAGAAATTCCTTTGCCTTTTGTCTACTTCCTCTTCCAATACAGATGTAATGTTGCAGCAGCCATTTTGAAATCCTGAGGCTAAGAGCGCCCCACTGAGGAGGATGGGGCAAGAAGTCTCTGTCTCTGTCCCTCTCTCTGTCTCTCTGTCTCTCTCTGTCTCTCTGTCTCTCTGTCTCTGTCTCTCTGTCTCTGTCTCTCCCTCTCTGTCTCTCTCCCTCTCTCTCTCTCCAGTCCCTACCTTTGTCTGCCTCCCCTGTGTATCTGCAAAACATGTTTTGATCCATTTCAGCCGTTTGTCATGTTTTCTCATACGTAGAGCAGGACGTGTTCCTGAGGTCTTCTGTGCATGCATGTGTATGTAGTTCCTCTCTGTTGCTCAGAGACCTGGATTTGAAACAAACTCTCCAGGTGATATTGATAGTGAAATCTGAGACTCGCTTACAAACTCTTGGCCAAAGAGGAGGAAGCAGGGCAGGGAGTTCTAGCTCTGCTGCTGACCAACCACGCATGCACAAGCTCCCAGGGAAGGCGGCTTTGGCCCAGTGCTGGAGGCCCGTGTGCGGGGTTATGACGGTGTCTGCGTGGCTGAGGCATCTGGGCTCTGGCCTGGACCTAAAATCCTGCCGAGCCCTCTGCCACAGAAAGCCACGGGGAGCATGGTCAGCTGAGAAGACGTCAAGGTCATCTAATGACAAATGCAAACACCAAGATGCCAGAATGGCCCCTCTGCGTCAATTGTGCAGGAATGGAAGTGTGTGTGTGTGTGGAATGGAAGTGTGTGTGATCCACACATTGCGTCATGGATCTCCAAGTGCGCTAGAGTAAATGTAGCAGTACACACATATACATGAAGCCCGACCCCAAATCCTAGTATCCTTGTCAAATAACTACTCACATTATTTTACTGAAATAATGTTCAGAAATTAACTTAACAAAAAGCTTACCTTGAGCTGCTATGAATTTATTCTTCTCTTTGTAGCCCTAGCAAAATAAAACCAGATTTATAATTATTCAGAATTAACTCTGATGTAAAGCTCTTGTGTTGTTAGGAAGGGAATCCATACTCCACAGAGATTTGGGGAACAGGGAAAAACTTAAGAGGAAAAGAAAACACACTAGCAATTTCAGAAATAAATGCTTTTTTCACATGTTCCTCTCTAATTTTTTTTTCCTGTGAATTCCCCTCCATACACACAAGTAGGTGCACAAACATTAAAATTCTTGATCCATCATATATGGCTTATCATGATTTATATAAAGAGCCACAACTTGCTGACGTGGCTCTAGTTTGTCTGTAATGTTCTACCTCACTTCACGAATTTCATTCTCTCCTGATTCTGGTCACCAACCCAGCCGGATAAGAGCTGAAGCCAAGCCCCTCCTGAGATCCAATTGAACCTAACTGCTGAATCTGATTCGGGCCTCCTCCAACTGGGCTTGCAACCAGAGCCCTGGAGAGATGCAAGGTTGTGAACTGAGGCACCACTGCACACTGAACAGGGCTGGTTATCTCTGTTATCTTTGATTTCTTGGAATCAGATTCCTTGGTGCAGATGCCAGCTGGGAAAGTGTGGGTGGCTTCATGCTCTCAGGGGTGTGGGCAGCCAAGTGGCCCTAC